TCAGCTTCAACACTCTGACCTAGCTTCTGTTTTCACTCTCACTTGCCACCTCACAGCCGCCATATTGTGAGCTCTTTTACCATGAGGCCCACGGGCAAGAGAATGGACACCCCTGGAGAGGAATTAGAATCTAGTCCACTAGCCCCAAACAACAAAAGACTATGAGCAATTGCTTGAGGGAGGCTGAAGTGGCTTCTCCCTCAGCTGACCCTGCAATGACCGCAGGCCAGGCTGACAGCTTGAATGCTGCCTTGTGAGAACTCCCAGTTAGCCATGCCCAGAGCCTCCCGAGCTACAGAGACTAGAAGATAGTAATGCGTGGTAGCTACAAGGCTTCTGTGGGATCTGTTATGCATTTAGTGATAACAGCTATTTTCTACAGTGCTATGAGGCTAATCCATAAAAAAACAAGCACTGGATCCTATGGTCCTTACTTTAATAAATGCTGGGTCAAAAGTTCCTTACTTCCTAAGGGATAAAATGTAAGCTCTTTAACATGGTACTGTCTGAGGAGAGAGGAGGGAGGTCTCTGATCCCTCTCCCTTTACCTTCTCTCAATGCCCACTTCACATTCAAGCTCTTCAAACACAATGTACTTTACCTTGCACCATCCCTTTCTGTCATGCTTTGGCTAATGACATGTCTGCCTAGAACGTTCTTAAATAGGCCTTTTGTTCAGCTCCTATAATGTCTTTAGAGCTCAAGTCTGACTTCCTTTAGGGTATGTTTCCTGATCATGCACTGGCCTCTGAAAGATGAGATGTCCGCTCTTTGCTCCTGTAAAACATGAATGATGTAGGGCATGGTGGTACATGTCTGTAATCCTAGCATTCATGAGCTGGGGCCAGACTGGCAGTGCTGTGGGATAATGTTCTTGTACACGATAAAGATTTGTCAGTTTTGGTTTAATAAAACACTGATTGGTCAGTAGTCAGACAGGAAGTATAGGCAGGACAACAGACTAGGAGAATTCTGGGAAGAGAAAAGGCAGAGACAGAGTCTTCAGCCAGATGCACAGGAAGCAAGATGAGACTGCATTACTGAGAAAATGTACCAAACCACATAGCTAAACATAGACAAGAATTATGGGTTAATTTTAAGTTGTAAGAGATAGTTAGTAGTAAGCCTGAGCTAATAGGCCAAACAGTTTATAATTAATATAAGCCACTGTGTGTTTCTTTGGACCAGGCCAGACAGAAACTTCTGTCTACATGAGATACCTAGAAAAAGAGGGAAAAAGTAGTAATGGTACCATGGGATTATTATATTACAAAATCATCAAGTTGCTTTCTTCTCTATATACTGAAAAGCAGATTATAGATTAGGACTTATATTTGTGTCCCCAGCACTTCAGTGTTTGGTGTGTGTGTGTGTGTGTGTGTGTGTGTGTGTGTGTGTATGTATGCATATGTGTGTATGTATGGAACAGAATTTACAGCTAAATCCATGGGACAAAATTAATTCAAGGCATACACTTTCGGTCAGGGAAAATGACTAAGCCTTTTAGAATACATGAAATCACTAACAAGAATGCACTGGCACAAACAGCAAAAGCTCAGTAACTGCCACACATGGCAACAGGGAAAGGCATCTGCAGTAGATTACATGTCACATGAAGGATAAACATAAAAACAGAAGGCTATTATATATAAAACACCACAATACTGCTGCAGGCCTTCCATCATACATTTTCAGGAGTAAGGGAAGGTTAGAAAAGAAAAGTAAGTAGAGGAAGAAGCAAGGCATTGGATAGTTAAGAATACTGATTATTAATTAATTAACCTAAACTAAAAAGCAGCACCTATTTCTATCTATCACACATACTATTAAAATATATGAAGACTCCATGAGCAAAATAAAGGGAATGGGACAAAGAAATGAGAGTGCCTAATGTATGATTAATCTATCCTTTCTTTTCTTCCCTCCATTTTCATTTCTCAAGAGAAAGAAAGGGTAAGACAGAAAACGCTTTACATAATTAAAGGGTCCACCGTTACCTTTACTGATCGGGCTCTTCTAAGAACACTGGAATGGCTACTGAGTCACGGCAAGCACCCCACTGCACCTCACGGACACACCACATAGCTTCCCTAACAATGGTTTGTAAAGGTGTCAGTGTGTCAGCTGTAGGAGCTGTGTTGGGACACCAAATACTTGGGGGGAAACAGTGCTTGCTCACTCACAAAGGGAGATGCAATTCAGAACCAAGGTCATTTTCAAAGTCCATAAAATGTAAAAGAAGCTCATGGCGACTCCAGTTTTGCCTTTTAAATTGTGTTTAGCTCAGGAGTTTCTTTCCATATTTTTCTGATTAACTATCATAACGGAGAATCATAAAATGGATTTCAGCATGGATCTATCCAGCCATAATGAGAGGATACGGAGGAAAAGGCAAGCTTAGCAAATTCCTGGCTGAGGTAAGACTGAGTGCTGCTTCCAAACCCTGAAGGGAAAGGAAGAGCAAGCATCTGGAAACAGTCAGAGGCTCGCTTCTGGTTGACTAAATCAATTCTAGTTTTCACAATGAATGATATTTTCCTTTCATAAATGACAAGGGATGACTCATTAAGCAGGATTCACCAGTAAAACAAAGTAATGGCTTCATTCTTCAAAAGCTGAACATAAATCTATAATCATACTATAAACATAAAATTAATTCCAAAGCCTTCTAACAGGTTAAATGAGCAACATTTACTCTCTGCTGCAAGTAACTTTGCAATGAAAATAAATTCAAGTTTTATTGCAGACACAGCTTTCAGAGAAAGATCATCATATTTCAACAGTAAATTAAATAGTCTAGCAGTAACTATAAATAAAGTAAACAATGTATTGGGGACGGTGAGATGGTTCAGCAACTAAGAATACTTGCTACTCATGCAGAATGAGTAGAACTGAGTTGAGTTGTTTAATTAGCAGCACCTAAATCAGCAACTCACAAGTGCCTATAGTTTCAGCTCAAGGGGACTGTGATGCCCTCTTCTGGCCTCCAAGGGCATTCACATGAATGTGTACATACACACAGACAAACTTAGATATGTACAAATAAAAAATTTAGGAGGTCTGGAAAGATGGCCCAAAGGTCAAGAGCACTTTGTATTCCTGCAAAAGACCTGTACCAGTTCACAGCACCTACATAGCTGCTCACAACCCTCTACTGACAATTCTAGGTAATCAATGTCCTCTTCTGATTCCGTGGGCACCAGGCATGCATATAGAACAATATATACACACAAGCAGCAAACA